CTTCCTCCAGGCCCTCTGGATCTAGGTTCCCTCTTGAAAGCTTGTAAGCCAGTCACTTCTTGCCTTTGTAGCCCTTCCTCCCCCATTTTGGGTAGCCAATGTCCAAGTTGCCCATCCCTGTCTACTCTGTGTGTGGAGGGGGTGGGAATGACTCTTGCTGTAAGGACTTGTTCCCTCTTTTGAGCTACTGCTTCCATAGGTGTAGGTCGGTTGTTGTTTTTAAGTGCCGTTTAGTCTGTTCTGACCCACAGCGACCCTATCTAGGGTTTCCAAGGAGCAACTGATGGGCTGAAGCATTGACACTGAGGTTCAAACAACCTTGTAGTCCAGTGCATTAATCCACAGGACCCCGCCCCTTAGACACAGCTGGTGCGACAGTAAAATGGTACAGCCAATGTGGAAAATAAATGGTATTTATTATATTTCTATTTTCAAGTTTTCTCTCCCCTAAAACGTTGTAGAAATTATCATATTCCATTTGATTCAGCAATCCCCTGTTAGGAGAAATAAGGGCCGTGACGTGAAGAGATAGGTGCACACCCACATTCTTCACTATACTAGTCACAATGGCAAAAAGACGGAGACCATCTAAGTGCCCTTAATGGAAGAATGGATAACCAACCTATGATACACACTCACACATACACACACACACACACACAGTGGAATACTATGCAACTCTAAAGTATAACATTGAATCTGCGAAACACCTCACAACATGGATGAACCTGGAGGACATTATGCTAAATGAATTTTGTTGTTGTTGTTCGTGCCGCCACAAAAGAACAAATACCATATGAGACCACTATTTAAAATACATTCAGATGATGTTCACAAACCAAAAGAAACATTCTTTAAGGTAACCAGAGCTGTGAAAGGAAGCGAGGGCAAGTCACTAACTAGGGGGTAGACGTGTATCAACTTGGGTGAAGGAAAAGGCAACACACAGTTAAGGGGAGGTCAGCACAACATGGACAAGGCAAGGGGAGACACTGGGAGGTCCACAAGAGTGAAAGACAGTAAAAGTAAATACGATTACATGCCCAGTCTGTAGCGATTGTTGTTGTCGTTACGTGGTGTCAAGTGGATCCTGACTCACAGCAACCCTGTATAGTTTCTGAGGATGTCAATCTTTGCAGTTGCACCTTCGAAGTGATCCATGAGCTCAAACCACTGACCTTCTGGTTTTCAGTCCAGTGACCGAAATCTATGATGGATGCAAAAGTAAGACGTGTAAGCTGATCAGGTATGGGGAACCAGACAGACTATCTCCATGAGTACATACAGGTCTGGCAGAGGATATTTGCTGCCGCAAGATTTATAATAGGTTGTTGTTAAGTGCTGTTGAGTTGATTCCGACTTATAACCACTCTGTATAGGATTTCCGAGGAGCCGCTGGTGGCTTTGAACTGCTGACCTTGCGGTTCGTAGTCTAGTGCTGATCCTACAGCACCACACCAAGTGTGTATAGAATGTATCTGCATAGAGCAATGTTATAAAAACTTCTTAGCCATAAACATACACCTTAAGAGGATGAGCCACTGAATTTAGGGATTTAGGACCATAGTCTTGAGGAACATCCTGGTCAATTGAATAGTCCACAAAGATAATGTTCTGGAGCCTACTTTGATGAGCAGCAAGTGGGGTGTTAAAAGCTCGTGAGCAGCCAGCTAAGATGCAACTATTGATCTCTCGCTGTCAAAGCAAAGAAGAATGAAGAAAATCAAAGACACTTGGAAATAATTAGTCCAAAGGGTTGCTGGGTTGTATGAGCTTCAACCTGCCTGACCCCGAGACAAGAGGAACTAGATGGGGCCCGATTGAAATCACAATAGAAAGTCCTGGACAGAGTGGGAGAAAAATGAAACAAAATTCAAATTCATAAAAAGATGAAATTTACTGACTGACAGAGCCTGGTGCTAAATACTACCCCCGAGAGAGACTGACCTCAAGACACCTTCGAAGTTAGAACTGACCCCACTCTCCAGAGAGCACCTTTCAGCCAAACAGTAGGCAGTCCTATAACGTGAACAAGAACATCTCTGAGGACTGTGCTCCTCCAAACAGCCCACCCTAGGAGACCAAGATGACAACATTTACCCAACAACCATGCTCAGAAGGCGGGAAGGAAAGACACCTTGGAAGGAGGAACCCAGGGAGGAAGTGGGAAAGTGCCCATTACATGGAGGAGAGTACAACCCAGGCCACAAAACAAAATGTGCATGAATTACTGAATGGGAAATGTTCACTCAAATCACAAAGAAGGAATCAACTTGGAAGCAACAGTTAGCAGGTAAAGGGTTCGCTGCAGTTTCATGGGCTCCAGGTGTCCTTTCAGAACAGGAAAGGAGGAGGTTCGCACATGCTAAAGGAACCATGGTGGTGCAGTGGTTAAGCACTAGACCGCTAATTGGAAGGTCAGTGGTTTGAATCCACTAGCTTGTTTAGTGGGATAAAGACGTGGCAGTCTGTCTCAGTTAAGACTAGCCTTGGAAAACCCTACGTGACAGTTGGGCTTTGTCCTCTAGGAGTCAAAAATGAGCCCTCACCAACTGGATGGCTACAGCTGTGCTAAGGTAGCCCTAGTGGTGTAGCGGGTTACATGTTGGGCTGCTAACTGCAAGGTCCGCAGGTCGGATTCACTAGCTGCTCCGCGGGAGAAAGATAAGGCTTTTGGCTCCTCTAAAGATTTACAGCCTCAGAAACCCTCGACAGCACAGTGTGGCTATGAGTCAGAACCGACTCTGCACGGTACACGAGCACCAAGGGGTACTGTAAGATAATGCAAGCTATGTTTTTTCCTGTTTTAATGTCACAGAGATTTAATGGAGAAAATGGAGATGATGCCACATTGGTCTGCTCTGTACCTTCCCCCACAAAGCGCCACCTACTTAAGACCCCACTCGTCACCCTGCAGAGTGTATTCCCGGACTTATTTCCGAGACACGTTCAGACTTTTACCTACAGGTGAGCGGTCATACGCCAGCCGGAACACTATTGAAAGTAAGTAACACGCGTGCGCGTCTTCTGTCTGCACCCCACGCTGTGTAATCCACACTCTGCTCTGTGACTTAGCCTCTGTTGTCAGCCCTCTTTTCTACACAGGAAACTGAGGCACACGTTGGTTAAGCAGGAAACGAGTGTTTCAATGGCAAGGCTAGAATTCGAATCCAGGTAGTGACCCCAGGACTCAAGGGCTTAACTAGTGTGTTCTGCATTTTACTGCCTCACTGCATTTTAAAAAGCAATAAAATCTGATGGTCTAATTCTCCTCTAAAGTACTTATCTTTTTTATTGTTCATTTGTTTGCTCATTCATTCCTGAACATTTGGTGAACTTTAATATATTGCCAGAGGAGCCCTGTTTACACAATGGCTGAATGCTTGGCTGTTAACTGGAAGATTGGCAGTTTGAATCCACCCAGCGCCTCCTGGGGAGAAAGGTCTGGTAACTACAGCCTAGGGAAGGGTGTAAAGATGGTTGTTGTTAAGTGCCATCCCGTGGGGTACAACTAGCAACCCTGTATAGGTTTTCCAAGGAGCAGTTGGTGAGTTTGAACCACTGTCCTTGCAGTTCAAGCCAACCTTACAGTTCAGTGTATTACCCCTCAGCTCCACACCAGGATTCCAACAATAAACAATATATATATATCGTTGTTGTTAAGTGCCATCTAGTGGGTTCTGACTCCTAGCAACCCTGTATAGGGTTGAGTTTGAACTTTGAACTGCCAGACATGTGGCTCTCAGTTCCATGCTTCCCCTACAGTGCCACACCAGGTGGTCCAGTGCATTACCCCACAGTGCCCCGCCAGATACATCCATACTACATCTATATGTTCTGGTGGGGTGCTGTGGGATAATGCACTGGACCACAGGGTCAGTTTGGACCGCAAAATGCCGATTTAAGCTGCAAGCTTGGCAGTTCAAATTTACCAGCCACTCCTTGGAAACCCCATACAAGGTTGCTATGAGTCAGAAGCAACTCAACAGCACTGTCTATCTGTCTAACTATCATCTATCTATCTATCTATACTATCTATCTATCTATCTATCTGTCTATCTATCTATCTATCTATCTATCTATCTATCTATCTATCTATCTATACTATCTATCTATCTATACTATCTATCTATCTATCTATCTATCTATCTATCTATCTAT